TTTTTCGAGACAGGGTTTCTCTGTGTAGCTTTGCGCCTTTCCTGGGACTCACTTGGTAGCCCAGGCTGGCCTCGAATATTTTATTCTTTAAAGTTGTGTATTTACTTAACTTCTGCAGAATTAAATTGTGCCTATGAAGAACTAATGATATGGCCCAGCAGTTAAATACACTTGCTGTTTTTGCAGAGGACTGAGTTCAATTCACATCATCTACATAGTAGCTCAAAGACATCTCTGACTCCAGTCCCATAGCATCTGATGCTATACCCTGCACTCTGTAGGAATCAAGTACTCTCATGGTACATATACATATATACATACAATTGAACACACACATACACATACTCAAGGATAGTAGAGAATGTACCTATGAATAATATCATTATAATAAAGTAATTAGGTTATATACAATATTGATATTTAGATACAGAAAACATTTAAGGTTCAGAAATATCTTAAATGGAAGGATAATGAATGAAAGAAAGATAAAAGGAGAATTCAAAGGTTGTTTTATTTCTAGTTCTAATTTATTCAACTGCTGAGTAATGAATGGATTCTAACTTTGGATTTACTTCTCAAAAAAAGATCATATTACTGGAAGTTCAACAGCAAAGGCAAGAAATTCTATCTGAATCCATATGAAAGTAAAATGTTGGCAACCATGCTTATTACTTGGGCCAAAAGTTATTCTTAGTCAGATCCCACCATCGTCATAATCACTACGCCTGTCAAGAAGAGTTCTTAATGAAGCAAGAACCAAATGGTTGTATTTAGCTTTGAAATTTGGAAATTGTTTTTGCATATTTTATTTTAACGAAGGCTTCATTTGAGGAACATAAAGTTTCCTTTCATTTAAAAGAGAATTTCAAACTCAGTTTCATCTAAAACTGAAGTGATTTTCAAAATATTTTGGGCCAAAATAAATCTTTAAAAAGAAGTATTTCCACATTATCCCGGAAGCAGACTGACAAGGTCTACAGCAGATTTAATTATTCTGGTGTTTCCAAAAGTGGGCAGCAGGAACAAAATCTTAATTGATTTTGAGCAAAAAGAATTTGGAAAATTCTGTGTTTAATTAGTTTTCCATGAAGTTTCAGCTCCCTCTACACTCAGATAGAAGCTGTCAATCTCAATGAAACATGAAGAAATATGAGTTGAAATGAAGCCATTAAGAGATGCATCATAGAGAGAGGGAAGAATATGAGCCAAGAAGGGCAGGTGCAAAACCATACGGTGTCTTCTAGAAGACTGGAGGGACAGGCTAGAGATCCAGGAGATAAGTTTGGAAATAGAGGTAAAAGCCAGATTGTGGGGTTTTGAATAAGTTTATCCTTTTTTAAATGTCAGTCGCCGACTACTGGGAAGTGTCTAGAGAAAGAGCAATTGTATGAATATGGTTGATGTAATCTGGTCAAAATTGGATGAGCTGATTTTGAACTGGGAAAGTGCTGAACATAGGGAGTTCAGATAGAAGCTCTTAGCAATGGCCTGTAATAAGAAATGGAAAAACGAGAATGCAAAATTGAGAAATGAGTATAAGACACTGAAAATATTGTATAAGTGAAATTGTTTCAAAGCTAAAAAAATCCCAAGAGAATGACAATGGCTTTGGTAGCCTGTAATTATTTGTACATCTTTGCACCCAGCTTCATGCATGCTCCTACACCCTGATGTACATTTTCTGTAATATGGGATGTACTGGTTTTGGTTACATGATTAACTTCCATTTCTTCTTTTAAAAAATTAGATAATTTGTCCTCTCTTCTTTGTAAGATCAGTTTCATGCTTTCTCTTTTGAACTTCGTAAGCATATAATAACTAAAATACTTAATGCATTATAGTGTTAATTGGCTTGTTTCCTAAATTAGGCAGCTTGTTCCTGAAGCTGAGAAACAACTCCATCCTTTTATGTATCCATCATAGTGGTACATGTTAGCAACTATATAATTGCTTGATGAAAGTGAACACTGAGGGAAGATACACATAAGTCTAAAAATATATGGAAGTGAATATAAAGATGTGATGGAAAGATTGAGAACAGGATGTTCTATTAACATCTAAGAAAACCTATAAATGAATAGGAAGGATAGAAAGGGAATTTGTTATGATGAATTCTAAGCTACAGGGTATGCTGCATGGTGCCGCACTTCTCACGTGGAACCTAATTATCGTCTATTTCTTCCTTGTAGCTATATCTTCTGTCAACATTGTCATCTCATCTGGAGGTTCAATTCCAAATGTGTGGACACATACACTTGACTTTGTAAAGCACAGCTCAAGATCAAATACCACTCTTCTATGAGACCTTCCCTTGTCTTTTCATGAATACTTGCAGTATTGTTATTAATATGTAGCCTGAAGACTGTCTCTATAAAATCCCTTAGAGTGCAATGCTTATAGAATTTTATCTCAACTTACACCTTTCATTCCATTAAGGAGGAAAGGAGGAGAGATTATTTGCATCATCACTTTACAATGTCAAATGCAGTAATTGATGTGAACAAATGACCATCAATGGTTATGGAACTCATTCCTGGATCAAACTATTATTACCTGGGCCCACTTACTATAATGTTATGTTCTATGAAGACAAGTGTCCAGATATCACCTGTGTCTTCATGTAAGCATTTGCTGTTTCCCCTGGCATATTCCCTCAAAAGTAAAGTAGAAATCTGAATTTGATCAGCTTGCTATGATAACTAGAATAGCCAGTTTTATGGAAACACAGAAGACTAACAAAAATGAGAAAACACAGCGCTAGGAAAAAAATCTCAAATGTGGGAAATGGATTATAAAGAGTAAATGTTAAATGAATAGCAAAAGAATGATAGATTGAAATATTTTAAATATAATTTAAATCACATTATATCATGTGAAAAGTAGATACTATGATATACCGATTTCAAACTATCTGAATTTACAATTTATGAGACAATTAGCAAAACAAAATCAGTGATATTTTAACAATGATAATGATATATCTTTAAAAAATCATTTGCATGTTGAAATGTTTTGAGATAATCCTACATGCTATTTGAAGTTTTCTTCAAACTTCTATAACAAAATGAAGCAAGGGTAGTATGGCAGTATAAATGAAACAAGAAAGAATATTGTGGAAATTCAATAGGACGTGATTTACTATATACATGTTTGAAATTTCTATGCTTTCAACCACAAGATCCAGTGACCTGTATCAGAGTTATCAAATTAGACCACTGGAGGAGATTCCACTAATCATTATTATCAACAGATTCCAAGGTGCTAATAATATACACAAGAGCTGAACATAAAAGCCCTGAAATAGTCATGCCACCAACCTTGCCTATGTCAAGTAAATACAATCATATATGTACATCCTGTGCATCAGGACTGAAGCTCTATCATGACCAGCATTGTATTTCACAAGGACACATATGTAGCATTTATCCCATAAATGATAGAAAAGATTTCATCTCATTTACACAAAATTTACCCAGAGATTACAATGTGTCAGCTCCATTTGCCACTATAACTCTTATTAATAATCGTTTGGCCATAGGAATTTTCTTTCCTTGCCACAGGAATATGGCAATCATAGTTCCTAAGTCATCAATATCTCCATACCCTAGCCAGCAAGGGAAAAATCTAACGAGAACAACTTATGTGACCTATAAAGAAAATGAACTGAAAAATGTATACTTGCCTTTTTCTATTGACTTTATATGGTTTGAGTTTCTAAAATTTTTATTTGAAATGGCTCATTTTTGGAATAATAACTTATTGTATTGATGCATTCTCAGACCCAGTATTTCCAAATACACCTTGGAATATTTGAAGAAGAAGAACAAAACAAACATCAGGAGGGATTACATCAATTCTATCATCTATTCTGTCTGTGTACTAATCTAATACTTTAGTTCTGCCATTAACTACTTAGGTTACTTTGAATGTGACACTGTTTTACTGGTTCCTGGTTTCATATATGTATTTCATATATACACCTCTATACCATTATATATAATATATACATCATATATATGTATATATATTATTATATATATATATTACATAACTCACTACTCTAAGAGCGTCTCTTAGTTCACTTCTAACTTTATGGTACTTGTAAAAAAATGACAATGCCTAACATTTGAGCAGAAAACGAACGTAAAATGATCTCACCTCAGAATCTTAGATGATAATAAATAAGGCTGAATCCTTGCAGTTCTGCCCTGAAGTTATAAATCGAGAAGAAGGAAGGAATTTTTTCCCACTTTGGCTTACCTGCTTATGAGCATGGTCGTAAGAATTAATATGATTGTCAAACTCCTGGTGTTTGTGATACTGCTTGTCACATAATTCACAGTAAAAATTCGCTTTTGCGTCTTCCAGAGCTTTTGCTGTGGACTTCTCCTTTTCTGCAAAATCCTTTAAAAAGGGCAAAAATGTCAGTTATAGTTTTCTCTGATAGGAGGCAGATTTCATATTAACCAAGCTAGTATTTACTCTAATCTGACCAAAATAAAATGTTGAGGTTCCAGACCTACTGAAAGTTCACGTCCTTAAGGGAGTAGCTTTCAGTGTAGCATCATTGCTAACTTAAGGGAGAAGCTTTCAGTGCAGAATCCTTGCTAACTTATCAGTGAACACTGGGACTCTCCAGAAGTGGTCCTCTGGCTGCTGTTATAGCCTGGATATTATTCATCCTTCTCTAGTGATGCATTCCAAGTTATAATTCTGCTTAGTATCAAACACATCCCTGGCCATTTCTGCTTTACCTCCACCATACATTTCTTTCTCTTATATATGTATTACACTTTTGTGTCCCATGCAATACTACCTTCCCCCAACCAATTAACTCCTTACACTGAACATCCCAGGGATATCTCTACTTACTCTAAAGCCAAAGCCTGATTGATATACAGTCTGAAACTAACTTCAACCCAATGTCTTCTAAAGCTCCAGAACCTGTTAGATCCCACTATTATAATTATTTCATGTGTTAAAAACCATTGTCTTTATGTCTTATGATATTCCATCTATAATAGTCTTGGTTATATTAGTTATCTACTTAAAATGCTTTCAAATTATCTCACTGCCTACATGTGAATAATGATGGACACAATGTTCATTCATTTTATAGATATATTATCCAATATTCACAGACAACACACACATAACCAAATAAGTAAATGGCAAAGAGATATGAACTAGACAACCATGCCTTGCTCCCTTGGAATTAAATGACAGTGATTTGCTATTTCCCTTTACATTCAACCCCACTACATTGCAATGCTTCCTTTCTAATTTACCATCATCAAATTTATACTTCAGTCTCTTGACTATCAGCAAACATGCCATATTTTTACCTGTTTATTGCTCCACTAAATTCAAGAAAATATTTAATCAATTAAGTGTGTGTGCCTACATTGTTAAACAACACAGTGTATGGCCTAGAAACAGGTACATGTTTAGGATAAATTAATGAGTAATAGAAATATATTCATGTCTACTGCCTTTACTTAAAATGCTCTCAAATTCTGTCATTTACAGGTTAATATGGATGACCACACTGATCATAATTATTTTATAGATATATCATCTAGTGTTGACAGATGTCACATACCAAGTAAGAAGATGGTAAAGAGATTTCAACTAAACAGTCTATGACTATCTTCCTTATTAGTAAACACCACAGTCATATGATTCAGATCTAATCAAAATGATAAATCGAATGAACACACAAAATAAGGGCATGAACAGTCTTAACAAATAGGAAGAATAAACCAAATGCCTGGATTATCTTTCTCAGAGAACAGAAGAATTGGAGTACACTCAAAGTTAACACAGGATAGAAGCTGACTGAATAATCTGTATCTAGTAAGAAAATCAGACTCTGGCTTGTGTACAAAAACCCAGTTGTTCAAAGAACCAGGATAATGGCCTGATGGTGTGGTGATAAGTGGCACAGAAGGATGCCTTTGAAGTAGTGATAGTCCTTTTGAATTAGTAAACTTAACATCAAGGGAAGCCATTATTCTCATGCAATTATTACCATTGTTTTTCCTCCTTTCTCTTTCTAAGAATTACTTTAGGATATTCATAGTTATTACGACATTAGAACAACAGCCTTTGCCATTAACATTGGTCCATTGCTTAAAATTATATCAATCTCATGAAGCAGAGAATGAAATAACAAAACTAGTGGTTGAACTATGGCACATATGTATTTTATATTAGTCTAGACTGTGTAGAGGATGGCAACTTAGCCAGCAGCAAGACTCCTCTAGTTAATTCTAGTATTTTCCTCTTAACCTATTTATAAAACTCATTTAATTATCATATCACATGGATTTTTATTCCATGTTTAATAACTTAAGGCTGTCTTAAAGAATTAAAACCACATGGCATTTATTGGGCATGCTTTCATCTGACAATATGACAGGACCAAATTATACATCACATTCCTTGCTTTATTTACATACCAAGAAATGATGCATAGACTCTTACATTCTCCACCATTAAAAAGTCCTAAAGACAATGTTTGAGTCATTTTGTCAAGAGAGGAAAAATAGATAAGGGAGTTTACATAGTACATTAACCAAACACACAAATATAGTTCATATACAAGTGTGTCCAGCAAAGTCAGAGGTAAAAATATAAACCTAATATGGGGGTTTGGAGCCTAGGCATTGTAAATGAAGAAGCTGAAGCAGGAGGTAGGAATTATTGATAGATGATGAGAAAGAGAACAATGGGAAAATATAGAAACAAAAGGGGTACCTTAAGAATATTTGCAAACATGAAAACTTAATTTACAGCTAGACAGGCAGTAAAGGTTGCTTTGTAAGACATTTGTGGTCTACCAGCTCATCTACCCAGTGTGCCTCAGGCCTATTCTTAAGGATGAAATTAGACTGTCTAGCAAGATGGAGCTGAGTTTACCAACATGTAACAGAAAGCTGGTGGGTAAAGTCTCAGACCAGACGAATCACTTAAATCAAACCTGTCATATAGTAAGTAGATCACTGACATTCAGCAGTTATATGATTTGTATCAAATCAGAGCACTATGAATAGTAAAGCTGAAGATAATCTTTACTGGTTCATCCTCATCCATCAACTCACTCATCTATCCATTCTTTCACACTGCCAATCACTATGTATTCACACATCTAAGAATCCCTTATAGGGACACTTTCAAGTGTTACATTTTCACAAGTTTTATAGTCTCATACAGTTTACACTCTAGCAGGATGGAGTTATATGCAATGAGGTAAAAACATAAATTATAGCTGGGCAGTGGAGGTACACACGTTTAATCCCAGCACTTGGAAGGCAGAGGCAGGTAGATCTGTTAGTTGGAGGTCAGCCTGGTCTTTAGAGTGAGTTCTAGGACAGCCTGGGCTATGCAGAAAAACCCATCTTGAAAAAACAGACAAAGAAACAAACATAAATTAGGACACTGATAATCACCTGTTTCCAGAGGATTCTCTGGTTTATTGTAATTAGAATAATTGATGATAAAAGGAGAAAGCGGTTGAGTCTCTGTCTTTCCTTCTTTCCCTCCCTCTATTAAATACTCAGTAAGCAGGTACTAGTTAGTGGTTTTTTTTTTAATGTAATGATAAAGTAATTTTATTGATCTAATAGCCCTGATGGTAATTAGGATGGTATTTAATTTTAAAGATATTATACAATCTGTACATACATTGGAAGGTTCAGAGTAAATATAAAAGTAGTAAAAATAACAACCTGTTATCAGTATCTGTAAATTTTAAAAAGAAAAATGAGTAAAATAAGAAGACAAGATGGAAATCAGCCTCGATTTACAGTTGCTAAGATTGTTCATATGGATTATAGTGAAGGATAGTTCTGAACGTGAAGAGCATGAAGCAATTATGATACTAATGATAGTTTCCTGTTTATCATTCTCTATGATTCTTTAAAATATTGACAATTAACTACAGTGTGAATATGATAGCTTGCTTAACAAGTTACTTAAAAATTTAAGTAAATGCCAATGGAAATTCTATATTGTGACTTGGTAATAATTCTGTATAATTAATTACTATGTATAATTAATATTGTGGGTGCAAGGAGAGATTATATATACTTTTTGTACCAAGAATCTTATAGTCATGTGTATAATAGATGTGTGTGTAAACTGGCAGGTATTCTAACAAAGTACTGCATTTAATTAGAAGATTGAATATTTACTATCAAATTACTGCAATGTTCACAATTATCACAATAATTACTGCCTAATGAAACTGTGGAATGCCTCTTGGATACCAGCATTGTGCAAAATTGCACAAATATTGTATACTTTCCATCTTGCTTAATTTTTGCAGTAAACTATGTTTTATGATTGTCTCATTAAGCATGTGAAGGAAGGGTGCACACATTTTGACCCAGACTATGTTGCAGAGCTTGGAATTATGCTCAAGTCAGCCTGACTTAAGAGCTATTAATGCCTGTGCTCACAGCTGCTGCAGTGACCTGGTTATTAGCTAGCTGCTGCATATGTCCAAAGCTCCAGTCAACTGGTTATAAATATGGACCTAGGTTATAAAGTGAAAAAAGAGCAAATTCATTGCTGATTTTACATCCTGATTGATTTGAGGATACAATTCATATTGAATAAAAACCTGCATTTGAGCTTTTATTATTATGCATTTTGTTGTTTAAGAATTCTAATACTCTGTTACATTGTACTGGTCCCCAGAAAGCATGCTCTTCCTGTTGCAAGTAAGTAGAAATTGCTGATTCATAAAAAATTTTGGCCTCTGTTTCTTCTTGTAGCTTGTTACAAACTGACTAATGGAAAACATGCTTTCAATGATTATTTGTTTCATTTTATTCATACAGAGAAAGCAATTCAGTTTTTGAAAAATGAGAACCTTGAATGTCAGCCTGTGCCTTAAAATAGTTCAAGTACCAAAGAGTTCTCAGAATAAATTAAGGAGAATAATAATAAGTAGTTAGAAAGATTGATGTGAGGAAAAGTGCTATAATTTTTGTACTTAGTACAGTGCAACACTAATGCAGAATGGGGTCAGGAAGCACCACTCCAGACTATGACAAAGCACAACCTAAACACACAATATCAAAATGTGTCTTTATAGTGAGGATAACTGTCAGCTTGCCATTTGAGAAACCACAGGCAGAGGAGTAGCTCTCAAATGTTACCCTTTCCGAAGAGAAATTTATATTCATAAAAGGAATTTCCATTTGTAAGTATGTCTACTTTTCTATACCCCGAGGAGACGGGTGGCTTTAAGTCACTAGAGACTCTCTTTGGGTGTGGTGAGGAGCATGATGTGTGTGCATGTGTGTGAATCACACGTGCAATCATGTACAGAGACCCTAGGACAACTTGGGTTGCCCTTCTTCATCACTGGCAGGTTGTTCCCTTCAAACAGCATCTCTCACTGAACTCGGAGCTGGCTGGTGTCCTCTCCCCCACCAAAGCTGGCCAAGCTGGCCATCAAGTTCCAGAGACTCTCCTGTCTCTGTCCCACACAGCACTGGCCATGGATTGCATCAGGGTTAGTGATCTAAATCAAGGTCCTCATGTTTGTATAGCAAGTACTTTGTCTACTGAATCCCCAGCCTGCTGTCCCATGGCCCACCATCTCTCCAGCTAGAGGCTCTTAGTTAAAGGGAAGGAATAAATTCTGCACCAAATCCATGGTGCTTTTTGGTACTTAATCAGAACTTCCCTGACCTCTATTTTCTTTACTTGAAAGAAGGTGATGTTTAAACCTAAAGTCTAGGAAAACTTCTGGAGCTGGAGTCCAGAAACTTATTGTCTAGATTATCTCTCTATAATATAGAATGCGCATGTCATCAAACTGCTTTTTGCTTTCTCTTGTTAATCTGTCTTTTGCTATAGCAATTGACAGTTAAGAATTCAGTGAAGTGTAGTCAGGCTTTCTCTTTTGGGATGGCCAGCTCCCCAAAAATGACACTGAGACTTATTAGCTTTGAAAGCTTGACCTTTAATTTATGCTTGTTCCCAACTAACTGAATGGCCAATAGCTAGGCAGGAGAAGTTAGGCAGGACTTCTGAACAGAGAGAGGAAGACAGAGGGGTAGAATTTAGGCATGCAGGAGACATCAGTGAGACACAGAGTGAGTCAGATGTACAGAATAAAGGAAAGACAAAAAGCCATGTAGTAGAATGCAGATTAATAACAAGTTAATTTAAGTTATAAGAGTTAGTGGGACAAGCCTAAGACAAGGCCAAGCTTTCATAACTGATAATAAATCTCCATGTCATTATTTGGGGACTGGCTCTCTTAATGGAAGAGTACTACTGCAGTGAGGTGCCATTTCCTTTCTTTCTCTATGTTGATATTCAGTGTGCACATGTGTGTGCATGTGTCTATATGTATATGTGTGTGTGTGTGTGCATGTTTTCATATGTGTGCATATCTGTGCATGTACCTATATATGTGTGGGCCCAAGTTTGTGAATATGCATGTGTATATATGCATATGTGTATGTATGTGTACATGTGTATGTGTGTGAATATATGTGTGTACTTAAGGGTATATGTGTGTGCATGTGTGTGTGTTTATGTGCATGTCTGACATGTTTACATAATTAAAGACATGTTTTCTTAAAAACATTAAAATTACACCCTTGTAAGTCGGCAAAGCAAAAATTTAATGGAAATCTAAACAAGAAAAGTGTTATCTTTATCTCATTACCATATTTTACAAAACATAGAAAACATAATTTTGCATACAATTAGAGATTTCATATTTCTGTGGGTTTTGGATTATTATACTGTTGTTAATTTAAGGTCTCAGTGTGTGAGCTAGCCTAGAACTCACTACATGAACCAGACTAGTCATAAAATCAAGATGATCTCTCTGCCTCCTTAGTGTGAGTATAGGGATTACATGAGTACAGTACAACACCCAGTTTTTAAAAACATATTTATATTTTATTGGTGTGTGTGCATATGTGTGTATGTGTGTGGTTGTGTGTCAGAGGATGCTTATGTGGAGGTCAGAGGAAAGTATTTTCTCTTTCTAGCATGTATGTTTGTGATTCATTTGTACCTTCAGGCTGGGTGTTAGTCACCCTCTCTCTGCCAACAGGTTGGGATTTTTTGCTTTATTTATTTATTTATTTATTTATTTATTTATTTATTTATTTATTTATTTATTTGTGTCTGTCTGTCTGTCTTTGGACTATTTACCTTCACACCCAGAGTAAAGACAGCATTATACCAGCTTAATTATACTAGCATTATTAATACTGATTTCCTTAAACTTGTGATGTGCTTCTTTCATTAAAAAAAAAATGGTCTTTGAGAGCTTGTTTGGAGGTTCTAGCAGGAGAGCGCAGCTACTCATATACCCTTGACTGGTCGGTGGTGGCACATGCCTTTAATCCCAGCACTCGGGAGGCAGAGCCAGGCGGATCTCTGTGAGTTCAAGGCCAGCCTGGGCTACCAAGTGAGTTCCAGGAAAGGCGCAAAGCTAAACAGAGAAACCCCGTGTCAAAAAACAAAACAAACAAACAAACAAAACAAACAAAAAAAAAACAAAAACCAAACAAACAAAAAACCAAAATAATGGTCTTTGTATTTATAGAGTCTAACACAGTGTTTCTTACTTAAAAGAAACTCAATACATAGATAGACAACAAGGATAAATGATGCATTTCCCATAGCATTTGTAGATATCATAGGCTATCCTGCCAACATAAGTTTCCATGGAGATGCACACTGCTGAAATAGTGCTAGAGGAACTAAGTGGGTGTGATTGCAAACAAGTGGAACTTTTAGAATAGTTTTAAAATGAAGATCTGAAGGATTAGGGAATCTATTAAAAAATTCCCGCAGACATAAAATGTTACAACCAGCAAAGAGTAATGCATAGAGATGTGGATTCCAGACTTACACTGCCTCTCTCACCTCTGCAATTATTGTTTTGACTTGCAGTTAATTGTGAGTAATGATCAGAGTTTTTCATATTTGAAATCAGATACCATCACAATTGGAACTTTCTGTCTTTGTCCTGGGAAGATATGATGTCAATCAATTCCAAGATTATGAAGTGAGATTTTTCTCTTCTTATTAATGATTCATTTAAGATGTTCACATTAAACAAT